ACTAACGACCTCGAAGGAAGCCAATGAAAGATATCTTTCCGGGGAGATAAAAGAGCCTCACTTTGCTTTAGATTTGCACTTCGACTACACCCTGTGTGTATAGCATTTGGCCGATAGTCAGTTATACAGCTGCGTTGATATAGAATGACTGGCAGTGAAAGAATGCCACACGCGACTATGAAATGCATAGGAACAACTACAAAACTCAAAACGACACTGTTTTCCTAATTATGCAGACAGTGAAAGTAACACTACGATCACGGGCTGGAGGTTTCTACAACGCGCAATACGTAATTCGGGGTTATTTTGAATCGGAAAAGCACTGTACTGCGTGCTCCGGTTGTTTGGAAACCGGTTACACTTTTAAACCGAAATTACACTCCAATATACTAAATTTGGGTCCAGCTGTAATCAAAAAACGTCTCTTATCTCCCTAGTTGAATGGAATATCGTACTATTTGGGTCATGGTCCTTCTGGCTCTAGATCAAAGTCCCATGATAAAGACTGAAGACTCAAATTCAACCTTAATAGATCAGGGAGCTCCGCTTTCATGTGCAGCATACTTTGCACCAATAATAGTTTTTTGATTTGAGCAGTCTAGGCTTCAGTGATGAAATTAACTAAAAATGGTGCTCACACAGAACTTAACATCTGTTGTAGTTATCCGCAGTTCTATACAGTCAACACGAACAACTTTAAATAAGCCCTACTGAATAGGTGTCAGTAGGAGTTTCAGAGTATTATACATTTATGGAGAGGCTTAGGTGCCTCAGGACTGTAGTCGACATACGCACGTGTGGACGGACAGCCCACGAGCGGTCTAGGCTTCAGTGATGAAATTAACTAGAAATGGTGCGCACACTGAACTTAACATCTGTTGCATTAGCGACGCTCATCATTACTCTTATCTGCAGTTCTACGCAGCCAACACGAAAAACTTTAAATAAGTTCTACTGAATGGGTGTCAGTAGGAGTTTCTGAGTAATGAATATTTATGAAGATGCTTATCTGCCTCGGGACTGTAGTCGACATACCCACGTGTGGACGGACAGCCCACGACTAAGCCGCCATACCGACTCTCAGCCAGCTGTCTGTAGTCGTTGTCACTGATCATCTTTTCGTGATAATCCTGCCCGAACTCTCTTCGTCCTGTCTCCACAGTGGTGACTTGGAGACTTTCGTCGGCTCTCAGGACACAATGTACAGCCATCGGTTCGCCGAGCGGTACTTTCCCCCGTGTAACAATGTACTTCATCTTCGCGAAATTGGGCCCAGTAACGTAACTAAAATTCGGTACAAAGAAAGAGACGGGGTAGTAGGAATGTCGAACTCTCGGGGGTGGGACTGCTGTGCAGCCTAAATGGAACTTACGCAAACTCTAGATGAGCATCAGTGAGTCTCAATTTCAAAAACCGGCGTCCAGTCCCCTCTCGAGAGAGAAATGAGAGAACAAAGACTTCGCCATTTGCTGACAATGGGGTCATATTCAGGTGAAGAGAGACGTCA